TTCTATCCAATGCTCAGAATACAAGCATAAAATTAAATTTATTTATAAACCTTTTAACTAGTGGCCCTGAAAAGGTGAAAAGACACTTAAATGCTTAGGTGGAAAGTGCAAACACACCGTACTGTTATAGCAGACTCTTTTGAGGAATATGAAGTTTGAGTATGCATTGTCATGTGGTTGGTCATGACTTGTAATTAAATGGAAATAATAAAATAAACTTGGCCACACACCCAAATAGTTCAATTGTCGTTTGATATAAGTACAGTCTTCATTATATTGTAAGGAAAGAGCCTGTAAGTCATTATGAAAACAGAAAAATAAAGAATTAAAGATCCTAATATTTTGTAATAAAATAAAGACCAATAATACCTTAACATCCTCATTTCTAAAAGGAATATTTTACTGCATGTGTCAGGCAATATTCCTATGTGGGATCTTTTTTTTTTTTTTTTTTTTTTTTTGAGGAAAATTCATTGTTAACACCTCTAGAATTTTATTTGCCGTAATCTTGTTTTTTTTATATAATAGATAATGCCTTTAGGAAACATTTTATTATTAATAGAGAGGTAAGCTCACTGAAGGCAAAGGACTATATCTTCTCCATGCATTCCCAGTACTTTTCATAGTTTCCAGTCTACAGTGACTACATAATCAATATTCATTGAATAAATGAATTTTCTAAAATTTTAATAATTGACAATATTTTATGGACAAGCTATATTTAGCCATTATTTAATTAGAACCACTCTTACCAAACAAGACTTAATACATTTTCTTCCTTTAATCTTAATATATCATTCAAATTGTTCCTACACCTTATTATAATTTTTAAAAATCAAGTGCTACATTTAATACTAGCAAATATTTATTTAGATCATTTCTTTCTTGTTTTGTTTTATGGCTTGGGGAAGAGGAAAAAGTGGCCCATACAAAGTAAATGAAATATTTGCAAATTTGAGTCTAATGCTAGAAATTAAAATTTCCATGTTAATGGCTTCTAAGGAGTATGTTTTAGCAATGCTGTAGAAATAATCTATAATGCTAATAACGTGAATGTTTTCAAGATTTAAAAAAGTATAGATTCACTATCATAACCCATGTATGATTCAGAAGGATTGTACATGATATACAACCCATATTGTATTTCAACAATGGTAAATGAGATAAAGGTCAGGGGAATGTATGTGAAAGAGCTAGAAACACACCAAAAAGCCAACATCTTAAGTGGGGTTCCATGGCAGTTATTATTTTGTTTTTTCTTTTCTAAAATGTGCTTTAAAAGTAAAAAACAGAAGATCTATCAGGTAATCAAAGATATGCATAAATCACCAAGGAAGAGCCAACACTCTAAAACAGAGCTGAATTCAATTATCTCCCCTACCCTATTAAAAAGTAAGTGAAAGAAGAGAAAGAGAAACTTATAACGGCTCTCAGCTGTTTAATATTCCAAACAGATTCTTTAAAATTGTCTTTTATTTTAGTATTTTGTCCTTATGTCATTTTTAAAAACTTCTAAAAATCTAGAAACTCTATCAAGGAATTTCTGCCTAGTGCCCGTCCTCTTATATATGATACAGTCTTCAAGGGAAAGCACATAGAAGCTTTACCTTTTTCTAACACTTACATATTAAATTGAAAATATACAGTGCATCACATTTTTACAAGTATATGTATGCATCCTTGCTTTTTACTATTTGTAAATATCACTCACTAGTATCAACAAAATAACCTCTCATTATTTTCCTGATTTCATTTTCTCCACAACAGGTTTCCATGACAACTTATATTTGAATTTTTATAAACTTCTATTTTTGAATACTATTCTTAAGAATAAAAAACTTAAATGCATAAGATATAAGCTTATTTACCAATTGAAATAGAACAATTTAGACCCCTCAAATATGTATTTACTTAATAAATTAAAAATCATAGAGGAGAGGGACATGCCAACCAAAAGAGAAGGCAAAAATGCAGGGTTGCAAAATCCAATTAATTATTCAGTTCCTATCACCGTTGTTTTTGTCTGTCATTTAAATCATAAAAGTTACAAACAAAGCACATCTATTATATAAATGATCTAATCTTTTCAATATTGGAGAAAAAAGAAAATTGTGAAACAAGTATAATGAGTTGAAAAGGGAATTCAGAGAGTTAAAATTTTTCATGTCAAATATTTCAATAAAAGATGAGCTAATGTTAAAAAGTAAGAGTGTTTATAAAACTTCAAATACTTCTATTAAGAATGAGACTCATGTTAATAAGACAAGTGAAGCAAACCATTTGATAATTGTTTTATGTTTTCTTAAATTGTGTCCATGCAAAATATAATTTCAACTTGTGGCCTCCACATGTAACTCTATTTTTCAAACTAGTCAGATAACATTGTCAGGTTATCATCTTAACTAAAAGTACTCAGGAAAAAATATTAAGTCACTTTTAAGTAGAATGGTGACTTACGATTACTTTTTTTTTAGCCAACCTCTAGTAATTTGAAAAGAGATTTCCTTGAAGACAAGACCCACAAAAGAAAGCCAAACATTAAACACTGACTGGTCAATAAAAATGGAAAGTTCAAACAGGATTCTTTTTAAGAAGTTAATTCAAGTCCCATATTTTTATTCTACTGTTGGGTGGTAAAGGGTAAAAATTCTAGGAGCGAAAGTCCTGGAATACACATATTTTAAAACTCATAGATGACCTTTCAAAGTTAGGATTCTAGTGAATGTCCTATGCCGCATTAAATCTCAAGAGCAATGTGATCTGCAGAGATTTCACAATCCAGTCCAGTTATAATCAGTAGTTTTGTTAGAAAGGGCCTGAAGAGAGAGTCATGAGACCTCTGGGATAATTTTGGCTTTGCTATTAACTTGATGTATAACCTTGGCCATCACTTAGCATCTGCAGTCTTCATTTTCTTCATCTACAATATAAAGGGTCTTGACTAAAAGGGACCTCAAATAAATTCTTCAGGTCTATGATTCTTAGCTGATTCTGTTTCTACTTGCTCTTTGACCTTGTTTCAGTCTCAATTTTGGTGTATTCTTTTCTCACCTAAAACAGATGCAGATCAAAGCCTCAATATTATTATAATGAAATATCATAATAAATGTTTTTTAAACACACAATTTTCAAGTCAATGCTTTATCCTTTTGACTAATAATCTGTAGAATCAAATTTCATGGCAATGATAAAAGTTGAACACCTTCTAAAAGTTTTTGCTATGCAATCTGGCCTACAATAAAATGTATTATGTTACCATAGGGAAAAATAATAAAACATTCTGTCCTTTTGTAGCACATTATCTGGAAAAAGGAATCACACGATGGGCCTGAAAACAAATTCAGATTATCCTTTTAGCCACCAAATGGAAAGAGCTCTATAACACTCAGCTGGAATCCAAGAAACACAGATGCACAGATGTAATGGTCATGAGCCTGTGGTTTAATTTAAATAAATATGCACTTGTGGTTTTGTTTGGTTGGTTTAGTTTTTTTTTTTTTTTTTTTTTTGGTGTTTTTTTTGTTTGTTTGTTTGTTTTTTTCCCTGAATGCCAACTCTGTTGTTGAATTTATGGCATGGCCTGAAAAAAAAAAAAAAAAAAAAAAAAAAGAAGGATTTCCAAGTTGAAGCTATTAATTCTATGTTCAAATATGTGTATGCAGGCATGCTAGAATTTATGTATGCATTTAAATACCAAATCTCAAAGAGTAGCAATGCTTTAAATTATCTCTTTCATATTCTATTTCACATTGAAAACAAAACACATCCACAGACTTACAAAGTGTTATCAGAAGCACATCTTCTGACAAATTAGTAGATAGCTGCATAACATCTCAGATGCAGACACTTCTGACATACAGAGGAAGAAAATAATGAAGATAGAGCCAAAGTAAAGTTGAGAGAATTCCCATTCTGCCCATGGGGTGCGTTTTCTGGGTGTCAGAAGCAAACCAGACACATGCAGTTGCAAAGATTTAACCAAATGCAGTACTTTGTTCTCACATGTAATTAAAAACCGTTCACATACTGTGTAATTTGTGGTTATTTATATGTCTTTATTTCCTTTCCGCCAGAGAAACCATTATTGGTTACTTTTATAATCTCTTCATGAGATTTTGAAGAATTAATTGGGAGTGTCAAGGATTAAAGTTGAGCTGTCATTTATACTAGAACCCAAAAAAGAACACTGAGGCTGGAATCACAATATTAAAATTAAAATAAAGTTTGTTCCTATCTTAATTATTCAGATTTAGAGAACTAGGATCACCAAAGTGGTTAATGGGTTAATGTATGTTCAACCTGTAAGGATCAGAGATACAACCCAAAGAGAAAGGGACCAGGCTCAAAATTCCCTGTGTAAGTGGGCTCTCTGGTCAACTCACGGAAACAATCCTAGTATTCATCTCGCCTGGAAAGTGACAGGCCCAAACAATGTTCTGGAGATTCTCTTTACAAAATAAACCTCCTGGCAAATCTTTCCTCCCTCCATCTCCCCAGTCACATAGATATATTCCATTTCCCCTTCCTCTGTCCTCAGAATCAATCCCTAATTTGAGCACTGCTCTGGGTGAGTCAGATGTGAAGGGGCCAAACTGAAAATGTCAAATAGGGATGACCAGGGGGCCAGAAGAGAGATCTGAGCTACAGGAAAAGTTAGAACAAAGGAGTGAGGGAGAAATTCGAGATGAATCCTCATACCCATTTCAGGACAAGATCCAGAAGACGTGCACAGAGAAGTCGACATTTGCCCTGTAGGTCCCATCTGCTAAAGTAAATCCGTTTGAGTTGGGAGAAGAGGAGGAGAAACATGGTACTGGGTGGGATGGTGGCCAGGGTCCCTGGGTTTACCCTGCAAAGGATGAGCCTCTAACCGCATCGCTAGGAAGTCCCGGGTCTCTTCTACCCCCATCCCTGAGGCCCTGGGGTGGAAAAGAACAGAAAGTTGGGGAGGGAGTTGGGAGAAGTTGAAGCAGCAGGGAAGGGGTCGATTCTGGCCTTACCCTGGCGGCTCTGGACGAGTAAGGGTCTTCGAAGAGGGCCCACATGCGGGGCTGCAGCCTCCTCCAGCGGCCAGATTTGCCGTCTGGGCCCCCGAGCCCCGCCGCGTCCTCGATGCCTAGCCTCTTGGCCGCCAGGTCCTCGTCGTCGCCGGGGTCGCCGCCAATGAGGTCGGGGGTCTCGAAGATGTCCAGCGCCTCCTCGGCGTCGCGGTGCTGCCGGTAGGTCATCCAGCAGCAGGGCTCCACGTCGGTCTCGTCGATGCCCCAGAAGGCCAGCTCCTCCTCGAAGAGCGGCCCGCACACGTCTGCGGGGCAGTGCAGCTTGCCGGTGCGGTAGTAGTTGAGCACATAGGCGAAGACGCCCGGGTGCCGGTCGAAGAAGAACTCGCGGCCGCCCCCGGGGTGGTCGCTGGCCCTGCCGCCGCGGGAACTGCAGTTGCCCGCACCGCCCTCGAAGCAGCCGCCTGGCCCGGGGGACAACGGGGGCGGTCTCGGCGGCGGCGACAGTGGAGGTGGAGACGGCTGCAGCTTGTCGCCCGCCGTGGTCAAGCAGTCGCCCGGGGGCTCGGAGGAGGCAAGAAGGGCCAGGCGTGTTCCAGGCAGGGTCTTGAGGGTGCTGCGGTAGGTTTCGTGCCGGGTACCCCCGACATTGAGGATCACCCTCTCGTTGTTCTCGATCTTGCCCATCTCTGTGACTCAGACATGACTGGGGGAAGGCAAACACAGCGCCGAGTTAAAGATCTTGGCCGTCAAAGACACACCAAGACCCCCACCACCAACCCAGAGCGAGTCCCGGGATGCAGGGTTGGCAGACAGGCATGGGGCAAAGGACCCTCCCCCGGAGGGGATCAGCGTCCAGCGTTGTCCCCGCCTCTTGCATCACACCTTTCCCAGGTTTCCAGAGAACTATGGAGACAGCAGTCCACGTCTTTCTTGACCTTTCATGACACCGTTTCTCTTGCCTCTCGCTTTCCTTTTTTTGGCTCTGCTCTCTTCTCCTTCATCTTTTCACCTTCCACTCTTCCTCTTTTCTGTTCCCTCTCAAGTCCAACCTGCTCCCAGCCCCTAACCCCCTCTCAGCCTCCCCAAACACCCTCTCCCTCCCTCTAAGCCTACTTTCTCCCCCTCCTTTGCCCCATTCTCTCCTCCTCCCCTGGTTGGCTTCTCACTCCCACTCTCCAAGACCCTCCTCTTTCTCCCCTTCCCCTAGCCTGGATACAATTTCCTTAGGCAGGGGTTTTCCTCAGGCAACTTGACAGTGTTGAGTGAGAGCACACCCTCTCCCCACCCTGTGAAGAGCCCCTATTCCACACCCACCCTAGGTCAACCCCAGACCCCTCGCTACTCCCTAGCGCTCAGGCAGTGCCTTCTGCGCAACCTGTTCTAGGTTCACCTCTACACTTGCTCACAGACCATGCAAAAAGACCACGCAGAAGTCAGAGAAAAAAGAAATCTCTGCTGTTGCTTTTCACCTAGGAGACCTCTGACTAACTTCCTTATTCAATTTCCTTTTCACGTTATTATTATTGTTGTTGTTGATATTATTATTACTTGGAAAAGGAAACAACTAACTAGGATCCATCTTTAAGAAAAGAAGTGATCAGTGCATCCCACCCATCCCCCTTCCCAAGAAAAACAAAACCCTTAGGGGGTGGAGGGTGGGGGATTTGCTTTCTAGGAGGGGCGAGGCTCGGGGGAAAAGCTGCTTGGAGGCACACCCCCTGGGTCCCTGATGTGGAAGTCTCGCTGGCAGTGTCCCTGTTTCCAGCCTCCCAGCCACCTCTCCCCAGGGCTTCATCTCTACATTTCTATTGCGGAAAGGCGGAGCAGGGGGGATGCCTGCCTGCAGGGTCAACAAGCCCTTTCCAGGAAATGCCCCCTTTCACCACCCCCACCCCCATTTCCAGATACCTTAAGGAGACCGAGAGAAAAGTGGTTTTGCTTTGGTTTCCGAGTGGACGAGGTTCTCTGGGCAGCAGGACTGAGTCTTGGCGCCCAGCTGAGCCGCCGTTCTCCGACGAGAAACTACTTGTTGGCGTTTTCCGGATTCAGGTGATTGAGCCGCTTCTCTGGGCGCTGGGGTGGGGGACAAAGCCCCCGCCGGCCGCCAGCCGCGCTCCCCGCCTTCATTCTGTGATCTGCGGATTTGCCAGTCGCCAACCTCCGCGCCCAGAGTCACCATCGCGCAGGGTTGGGCAAACCATGGAGCTCTGGGCGGGTCCAGCCGGCACTGCCCGACCCCACCGGGAGCGGGCAGATCGGCTGGCCTTGAATGGAGCGGAGACTGGCCGGAGGTCAGGAGAGCTCACCACTTGAAGGTGAAGTCGCCCTGCTCTGATTCCATCTGCAGATTTTGTTTCTCCCCGAAATCAGCCGCTGCTGGAGCTGTCCCTTCAGCACCACTCGCTGTCAACCTCCCGCCGCCAGCCAAAGCACAGAGCTGGGGAAAGGGTGGGTGGGTCTGGAGAAGCTATGTTGTACCAACCAGGTTCACATATTTTTCTTCTGTGAAGCTCTGTCTCCACCCTCTCTGGAGCTTCTGCCTGCCTTATTTACACCCTACTCTCCACACCCTCTCTCTCTCCCCCACCCCTTGCCATGCCCCACCCCTCCCAACAAGTGAGAGAATCTAAAACCAATTGCATTTTTTTTCTCAATGACAGCTGACCGGAGAGAGAGGTGTACTTACAGGTGACAGTAAATATTGTTTCTTATGTCTTATGCATGCCTCTGGCTTGCTTTTTCAAATCAAATGTCCGTCTCTAGCCACCACACTACTGTTATCTAAAGCAAAACAAGTTTTAGAAGTTTATCCCAGAAAGATAATGCTTTACAAAGTACAAGTTCCAGTTTTTTTTGTTTGTTTGTTTGTTTTATTTTGTTTCATTTTGTTTTTTTGTCTGAAGCTGAAGAGAAAAGCCACAGATACCCAACTATCCAAGTAATTCTCTAATAAGCCAATTTCACCCTTTCTCAAGTTTTCATTTCCCCTTGTATTAGTGTGCTAGGGCTGCCATAAGAAAGTACGACAAACTGGGTGGCTTAAACAACAGAAATATATTGTCTCATGGTTCTGCCAGTTTCAAATACAAAATTAAGATGTTGTTAGGGTTGGCTTCTTCTAAGAGTTTTGGAGGAAGAATATGTTCCAGCCCTCTCTCCTTGGCTTATAAATAGACATCTTCTTCTTGTGCCTCTTCTGACTATTTTCTCTCCATGCATACCTGTCTCTGTGTCCAAACATCCTCTTTTTATAAGGATATCAGTTATATTAGATTGGGGCCCACCCTAAATGACCCCTTTTCAACTTCACTATCTCTATAAAGATTCTATATCCATATAAGGTTACATTCTGAGGTACTGAAGGTTAGGACTCCAATACAACTTTTATGAGGGGAAAGGGCACTCTTCAACCTATAACAGGCTCATCACCAAACAGATCATGTGCGTGTGTGCGTGTGTGTGTGTATCTGTGTGCATACTCCAAGAAAGAAAAAGAAAGAAGAAGAAGAAGAAAGAAGGAAAGAAAGAAAGAAAGAAAGAAAGAAAGAAAGAAAGAAAGAAAGAAAGAAAGAAAGAAAGAAAGAAAGAAGGAAGGAAGGAAGGAAAGAAGGAAAGAAAGAGAAGGAAGGCAGACACTATTCTACAGGCATAATTTGTTAGAATTGAAGTCCACCCACCCAGTAGGGAAAACACCAGGTCCTCTGTGGAAGAATATCTCTTTGATAAACAAGTATTGATATGATACTATGGCTTAGAAAGAGCAAGATTTATGAGTTATTAATAAGAAAATTTTAGCAATATAGAGGGTGGGAAGGCAGGTAGTAAAATGTGAATTCACCAAATAACATCTATCTGTTATGACACATTAAAAGTAGAGAACTAAAAGGTCTTTGGAAGGTCATTGATATCTAGAAAATAAATGCAAAAAAATGTAATATATACATTTATTTTTTAAATTACTGACAATTTGACAGTAAATGTGTAAAGACAATGTGAACCCAGCATGTGAGTTACTAACACACACAAAAATGTATAAGGCTTTAATGTGATGAAAATTATTTTAATTTTTTACAATTATCAATCACTGAGGTATTTCCAAAAATGATAATGATAATAAATTTCAGTTGCCAGAAAAAATTACAAAGAGAAAGTATACTCACCTTCTAACAGTCATTCTTCCATTGTCTAGATGATGTCTTATACTGGCTAATGTAAATTCAGTAGGGAAAAGGGGGAATGTGGTTTGCTTTAGAATAAATTAACAACTATAATAGCAACAGAAGCATTAATAATAATAGATATTTACTGAGATCATACTATGTTGAAAATGCTTCACATAAATTACCCCCTTTGAATTTAAATGGAGAAAATGTTCACATTAAATTGCAAGACTGTAAAAAGATAACTCATACAGATGACAGGAATCAGTAATGAAAACCTTTAGTCTCATAATATTAGTTGCATTATGAGACAACTACAGAGAAATCAAAAAGAAAGGAAAAGATAATGCAAAGTACTCATGGGGAGGAAAATCGAACAACAAAGATCTAATGAGTCGATTTGGGTGCAAGGTTATATAAGCTATCTAGAAATAATCACATTGATAGGAGGATCATCTTTCCGAAGAACTCAGACTTTCCTTGTGATTCAAAAAGGATTATATGTGAAATTAGAGAACATGTCAGATAAGTTTGAAAATAAGAATGTGGGAAGATAAAAGGATGAGATGTGCATGTCAATGGAGAATTGATACACAAAGCAAGGAATAAAATACAGTCTCTTTTATTTTTTGCTGGTCAATAGAACAAGGGAAGAACCTAAAACAAATATCCAGACTCCATTATATAAGACAGGAGAGAACAGAAAACCCTTCCAGCCAACGAACTTTACTGATCCTGCTGTAAAACTCAGATAAAAGTGAAAAGAAAGCAAAGCTTTGAAAAATGGCAATGGAAAACTGAGGGAGGAAAACATTTGTGGTTTCCTTTGTGGTCTGTGTGGAGCAACGATTTAGAAAACTGTACAGACATTACCCCTTGCAGGGAAGCAACTAAAATGCTGCTTCCTTTATAATTCTTGAGTCAGCATCACAGAAAGGCTACAGAAACTAAGCACTACGTCACCATCAGAAATGTGAATTGATCTCATGAAGCACACTGTGACTGTCAGAATGACATACTGGCAAAACTTTAGCATTTGAACAACTTAATTCTTCTAAAGTCTAATGTGAGGATATTAAAAATATTCTTCACTCTCAAAAAGTAATATATTCATACACAAAATTCTTCTGCAGTAGATTAAAGAAAGATCACAATTTTTCATTGCTCCCTACAGATTTGGACCTTTGTAATGTGACTTTGCAACTTCTCCCTTCAAGTCTGTCTCTCCAGCTCTTGAATCTGTGCTGTCTTTGTAATTTACTTTGGCCAATAGAATGGAATGGAAGTGATGATGTACCAGTTCCAAATCCAGGCTTCAAATGCTCTGGTATGATTCTTCACTCTTGCTCTCTCTCTCTCTCTCTCTCTCTCTCTCTCTCTCTCTCTCTCTCTCTCTGTCTCTCTCTCTCTCTCTCTCTCCCTTCCTCTCTCTTTCTTGGAACTCTACCTTAATACTATGAAAATAAGTCTTAACTAGTTGACATCGTGGTGAGAGATAGATATTTCAGTCATGTGCACACACACACACACACACACACACCTCTTCAGTACAATAAGTAATAGTATCAGGAGCCAACTCAGAGGACATAATAGAGGATTATACGGATTATATACACACATACACATATATACACACATATATATTTTATATTTGATATATAAAGTATTATAACAAATAATATATATTTTTGTATATATTTATGTGTATATAATTATGTACTAACCATCTGTAAATGAGCTAGTACCTTGTCTTAGTCAATTTGTGCTACTATAACAAAATAATTGAGACTGTGTAATTTTTAAAAACAGAAATGCATTCCCTCACAGCTCTGGAAGCTCTGGAAGCTCTGGAAGCTAAGAAGACCAAGATCAAAGTGCCAACACCTGGTATGGGTCTTCTTATTGCATCCTTAGATGGTGGAAGGCAGAAGGCCAAGAAAGGGACAAATTCTTTGTCTTCACATTGCAGAAGAGAGAGAAAACCCACTCCTGAAATTTTTTAGAACAGCACTATTCTATTTATTGAAGGTGGTGCACTCATAACCTAAGAACATCCCAAATCTCACCTCCCAACACTGCCACACTGGGGATCAAGTTTCCAACACGTGAATTTGAGGGGACACATTAACACCATGACATTTACACAATACACTCTTTTTCTACCCAAACTAATTACAGTAGATGCTTGAATAATACAGAGATTAGGGGCACTGATCCCCACACAGTGGAAAATCTATGTATAACTTTTGACCCTCTAACAATTTTCCTAGCCTACTGTTGACCAGAAGGCTTACCAATAAGGCAGTCAATTAACACACATTTTGAATGTTATCTGCATTATATATTATATTCTTGCTATAAAGTAACTTAGAGAAAAAATATTATCAATAAAATCATAGGGAATAAAAAATTTATTTACTGTTTATTAAGTGTAAGTGAATAATCATAAAGGTATTCATCTTAACCATCTTAATATTAAGTGGGCTGGGGAGAAGGGGCAAGAGAAAAAGTTGGTCTCACTGTCTCAGGGACGGCAAAGGTGACAGAAAATCCACTTATGAATGGGCCTGCAAAGTTCAAACCCATGTTGTTCGAGGATCCACTATTTTTGTGATGATTATAATAAAATAGACCTACATATGATGAATTCATGGATTACTAATTTTACAACTTGACCATTGGGTTTGTAAGAAATACATATTTGCAGAGGCCCTGCATAAATATCTAGCATAATAACATAGGTGTTTAGTCAATTTAAGCTTGCTGTATACTCGTAGAATTGATATGTAAGAGTGCTGAAAAAAGACATTTTAAAGAAAGCGAAAAACAAATTTCCATAAATATAAGATGACGTTGATTGGTAAGCATTAAAAATAAGAGTAAAAAATAGCCTTGTTTTGAAAAGCAATTCTTGGTCATAGCCTTCTTCATCAGTCATTCGTTTAAATAGATAAAAGATGATAGATATGATAGATAGATAGATAGATAGATAGATAGATAGATAGATAGATATGTAGTTAGATAAATAGATACATACATACATACATACATACATACATACATAGAGGGGATGTAGATAGATACATAGATATATAGATACATAGATAGATAGTAGGTGGATGGATGCAGAGAGAGAGAGACAGACAGACAGACTTTAGAAAATAGAGCAGCTCATTATTCACACCACACTATCTGAGGTCATTGTAATTTACAAAAGGGGCAATATGAGCAGATTTTCCCGGGGGGATTGTCATAACACTAAGCATTAAATTATTGGCAGATACCAATTAAAGCAGATACTCTGCTTTCTTATTGTTTTTGTTCCTCTACAGATCGTGGATGATAACTAAGACACTCAAATATTTGAATAATTTTATA